CTCCATGGCCCCGCCGCTACTTCCGCCCCACTCCGGGCAGCTGCGTCACCACGTGACACTGCCACGTCGGACGGCGGCTCCGCGCGCCCAAAACGAGCCGTCCCGCGCTCAGCGACAGCGGCGCCGCACCGGGAATCCCCCGGGATTCTCCCGAGATTCTCCCGGGATTCTCCCGGGATTCCGCACAATCCCTCACTCCAGCACCGTGCCCTGATTTGTAGGGCGCTCGCAGCAAATCCGCACCCCCCCCCAACTCAGCCCTCCCTGCGTGCTTTTCCCCCGCAGAGCGCGTGATAAAATGCAATATTGCTTTTTTTTTTAAGTCCCCCTCTCCTTTCTCGACCTTTTCCCGTCTCAGCGCGGTTTGGTTGCGTCTCCCGCTCCCTCCACGCAGCACCGCGCGGGGGTTTGTGCAGCCAAATGAAATTCAAGCGGGGTTTTGATGGAGTTCCTGCAACTCTTCCCCGGCCAGAGCATCCCCTTGGAGCTGGATCGTGGCTGGGGATGCAGATTGGGTGCAGGGACATGGGACACGAGGATACAGCTGGGCCCCAAAATTTGCAGTAAGACAAGCCACGCTGGACCCCCATCACCTTCCCAGTGGGCAGAGAGGCGATAAAAGTGATTCTGAGCCCGGATTTCCATCGAGAACTCCCTCAAAATCAGCCCGTGCCAGACTAACACACGCAGTGGCAGGGGAGTCAGGACCCCATCACCTTCCCAAGGGGCAGAGAGGTGTTAGAAGTGATCCTCAGCGCGGTTTTCCGCGGAGGACCCCCCAAAATTCATCTCTGCTGCCAGCAGGGAGTGGGAGGTGATTTATGGCAGAGCAGCCCAGAGCCGGGTGACGTTAATGAGGCCCCGGCTGCTCCTGCCGATGGATCCGGGCTTGGCAGGGCAGGAAATTAAAATGTTATTGATGGGGGGAGTGAAGTGCGGCAGGATCGTTTATTTTTTATTTATTTAATTTTTTTTTTAAATGCGATTTTTCTTTCTCCCGGGTCCGGCTTGGAGCTCCCTCAGGCAGCACAAAGAGCCCCAATCCCGACTTTCCAGGGGCTTCCCATTTCATCCCACCTCACTGGGAGGGATGACTGCGACTGGAGTTGCCTTTTTTTTTGTTTGTTTGTTTGTTTTGTTTTGTTTTGGTGTTTGTTTTTTTCCTTTTCACATTTCTAGGAAGCAACACTGGACAAAAATACAAATGGAGATGAGGGAGCTACATCCTCTCAGCCCCTTTGCAAGGAAACCTCCCAAATCCAGCCGATCCTTGCTGTGGGATTTTGGGAAGGGGAGAGATTTTTGGGAGGGCTGGGATTGATTAATTCGAGCCCAGGTGGAGGAGAATTCAGTGATGCAGCAGCTGCCACATCAAAGGCTGGGCTGGGGGCATGGCAGTTTTGGGGCTGGTTTTAATTAATTAAACTGAAGATTTAGCACCAGATCGATCCTCTAAAAAAATTAAAAAATAAAATAAAAATTGCCCAGAAAAGCCCCATCAAACCTGTATTTCAAATCCCAACCCACCTTGGACGATGTTTCCCACACGGGTCACCTCCTGGTGCCTGATTTGCCCCCGTGGACCAGGGCAGGCCCCAAAATCACCCTCGGGGTGTTTGTTCCTCAGTGGGAGAAGCCGGAAGAGATGGAATTTCTGATGCTGGTGAGGAGCTCTGATCCCACCGGGGTGGCACCTGCAATCCAGGGCTGGGAAAATCCATCTTGCTCGGTCAGAATCACAAATCCAGCTGCCTTTTTTGGGGGGAAAAAATGGAGATTTTTATTCCCTGCCTTTGTTCCCAAAGGATCTCAGGCATCACCTTTGCCCCAGCCAGCGCTGGGAGCTTGGCCTGGGGAGTCTCAGACAACTCCAGGATCCCAGGATGGGTTGGCCATGGAAGGGTATTTAAATGTTGAACTATTTTAATTCTCTTTATTGCTTATTTTGTGGCTGAGCCTTCAGGAATTTCTTTCCTCCTGGTGGACTGTGATGCCTGGGGGTGTTTGATTGGAGTCCCCAAGCCCCGAGCACGTTTGGATGTTGTGCTTTGCATCCTCACAGGATGTAGAAATTACAAAAAAAGAGAAAGAAGCAAATAATTCCACCTTTTCCCTGCCTTTTTAGCCATCCTCTTCTTCCCCTGCACTCCCAGGAGAGGCACCAAATGCGATTCGAGGTAGATGGGTCGTACTTCGAGCCATAAATCAGTGTATTTACACATTACATTCCGACTGAAATTATGAAAAAATATGTTATTCCCTCCCCGCTTTTTTAAAAAATTATTATTATTTTTTATTCTCCCAAATAAATATGCAGCCAAGTCTCTATTTCTGGGGGGATATTTATCACATTATTGCACCTTGGGCTCTTCCGAGCCGGGGAGGAGCGGCGGAACTTCATCCTCAGGTTTTCTTTTGGCTTAATAACCCCCAATTTTTTAATTAAATTCTTCCACACACCTGTCAAGGACACTCATGGATTTAGGGGTGTACTTGGAAAATCCAGCTGTGCTGATAAATCCCCCTGGGAGCGGGGTGTGGGTAGGAGGGAGGGGACTTTTATCCCCCCTCTCCCCCCCCTTTCTTGGTGGTTCATTAATATTTCTTCGATGCCATTGGAGATTCAGGTCTCATCTGCTTCTGGTGGGATCAGGAGAGGAGGGGAAAAAAAAAATTGGAGCTGGAGGGGTTATAAAGGGGGTGGAGGTGTGAGCAGCTCAGAATTCCAGCACCATGGGCCGAATCCTGCGGCTCCTCTGCCTCCTCCTGCTCCTCAACTCCTGCCCCTGCGCCGTCATCACCGGGGTAAGTTCTGCTTCCACCCCACCCTGGGTTTTTTATTGATTCATCTTCATTATGCTGGGAAATAACACAGCAATCAGGCCTTTGTGTTGTCTGGTTTGTGTTGGTTTTTTTTCCCCTCTTTTTTCCCCAATTTATCCCTCGTTTTTCCGACCTACGGGTGCTGTTCCCACCACCAGCATCTCCTCCCAGCAGGGGAGTGTGGGATTTTAGGAAGTTTTCCAGCAGGTTAAAAATCGATGTGTCTTTATGGATGTGTCCCAGAGCACGTTCCCAATTGGAACAAGGGCTCAGACACCCCAAATTATCCTTTTCCCTCCTGAATTTAGAGGAATTATTAAACGAGGTGGGAGCTGTCAGGGTGCCAGGGGCAGGTGGTTGTTCACTCTGTCACACTCAGGGTGTCCCTGAGCAAGCACTGGACTGAGGGTGCTGCTAAAAGTGAATTTTAGGGACAAAATCCAGGTTTTTGTGGTGCTTCCAGAGCCTGGATGCTGATCTCAGCAAAGCCAGACTTGGCTGAACCCCTCTTTTCCCTCCAGTATTGGAGAAACCAAGCGTTTCCATTCCCTTGATTTCCCAAAAGGAGGGATAATGATGCTTTCCTGGCTTTTCCCAGCCAGTGGCAATTTGGGGAGGACCCGGACAGTGGGTTTATCCCTCGATTCTGCTGCTCTCCCTTGCTCTCCTGCAAACTTTCCCTCTGTGCCCCGTGTCCATGAGGGGTTTCCCCTCCACCCCATGAACCCCAGCACCCCAACCCCGCCCCAAAACCTCCCCAAAACCTCAGCCTGAACCGGCAATAACTGGGAACTGCCACTCCCAACTCCCCAGCGTGGGCTGATCCCACTATTAACCCCCCTCAAAAAAAGAGGGATAACGTTTCTTTTCCATCCTCCTCCTCCTCCTCCTCCTCCTCCCCAGGCCTGCGAGCGGGACCCTCAGTGCGGCAGCGGGACCTGCTGTGCCGTCAGCCTCTGGCTGAGGGGGCTGCGGGTCTGCACCCCCCTGGGCCGGGAGGGGGACGAGTGCCACCCCTCCAGTCACAAGGTACAGGCTGGGAAAAGGGGGGGACAAAGGCCGGGAAGGGGCTCCGAGCTCCTCCCATGGGGGGAAAGCTCCGTTAAAGGCTGGGATGGGGACGGGGGTGGGATGGGGAGGGGATGGGGTGGGGGGGGGGGGGGGGGGGGGGGGGGGGGGGGGGGGGGGGGGGGGGGGGGGGGGGGGGGGGGGGGGGGGGGGGGGGGGGTGGTGTTGGGAGAGTGGTTTTCTGGGGAGGAGGAATTGGTTCTTGAGCATCTGGGGTTGCCAGCACTGCTCACAGCGATGCTGTCACGCCTCTGGATCGTGATATTCCAAGGAAAAAGTGCTGAGGGAGGTGAGGAGGCAGCTGTGGTGGGAGTGGGAATGGGACAAGGGAATGCAGGGCCAGACCTGTCCGTCTCCATCTCTTCTTCCCACTGCCCTCTGAACCCTGGGATGGAGGTGGAGGACTGAGGGGGGGATTTGGGGGAAGGCTCTGGGTGGCATCGTGGGGTCCCAGAGCTGGGGCAGCTGTTTCAGCCTCTGTATTATTTTGGGTGATCCCCTGCGTGTCCACAGCACCCTAAATCAGGGAATCGTGGAGTGGTTCCGGGTGGAAGGGACCTTAAAGATCCCCTCATTCCACTCCCACCAGCCCAGGTTGCTCAGAGCCCCATCCAACCCGGCCTTGATCCCTCGGGAATCCTCTGGACCCTGGCTGGGAGCCGGGGTTGAGCCACCAGCCCATTCCTTTGCAGGCAAAGCACAAACCACACTGCTCCAAACCGAGCCATCAGCGCCCCTCCCAGCCAGGAGAAGCCAAGTTAAACCCTCAGAGCTCCCTGATTCCGGTGGGATAAGAGCCCCCGGCACACCGGGATTAGCCCAAAGCTCGGTGCTGCCGCATTCCCTGTTCCAGCAGGATTTAGCAGCAGCATCCCAGCCCCGGGAAGAGCTTCCCCCTCCCCGTGCCCGTATCGATCGAACGCTCCGGGAGCGAGATTGAATGGCACTGCACCTCCTGCTGGCACAAGGAAAAGGCTTCAGAGGGATCACAAACTCATT